ATGTGAATGTAAATGTGAATGTGAATGCGAATGCGAATGCGAATGCGAATGCGAATGCGAATGTGAATGTGAATGTGAATGTGAATGTGAATGTGAATGTGAATGTGAATGTGAATGCGGATGTGGACCTGGATGTGGATGAGGATGAGGATGAGGATGTAATTGTGGATGTAATTGTGGATGTAATTTTGGATGTAGATGTGAATGTAATTGTGGATGTGGATATGGATGTATTATGTGGAAGTGGATTTGTATGTAATTGTGGATGTGAATTTGGATGTGGATGGAAATGTGGATCTGGATGAGCATGAAGAGGATGAGGGTGAAGACGAAGATGAGGAAGTGTTTGTGGATGGTTAATGGTATAAGTAATTATAAAAATATTCGTCCTTGTCAACATCCTAAGCGCCTCAAAATCCAAAACATCTAAACATCTAAAGAGAGTAATGAAATTTCGACAAAAAAGAGTTAATTTAAAATAATCATGTGTTAAAATGTAATTGAAACCCTAAAAAAAACTGCTTAATTGAAACACAAACACGGAACAGGCCGGGTGTTTGAAAAAAGAATTTGACTTAACTATGTTTTAACGACTGATTGATTGTCCTAACGTTATATAACTGGAGACCAACATTGGTCAGGCACTTCATCAACTAATGAAACATCCCTCATCGTTTTTCTGGGAAAATGAACTGCATAGAAATCTTTTTCGTCGTTTGCTTCACACTGACGATTGTGCAGTGTAGCGCAGAGGATAATGGTACGGAAATGTTTAATTCAAAATTAAGATGTGTAATGATGTTTATGTGTTTAAATTTGTCGGTTTGTAGTGTTTGGGTTAGATTAATTTAACCTGTAGTGATATTATTTTTGTTAAGTGATAAGCTATGAAAACCGTTTAAGCTCGTGATACTGGTTCTATTACTGTCAAGCAGTGTTTCTTCCAGACTTTTTTCTCGGGGGGGGGGGGGGGGGGCACTTGAAATTTTCGGGAGGGGGGGGGGGGGTCGGAAGCGGTTGACTTTCTTCGGGGGGGGGGGGTGACACTGTTAATTAAATGTATATATTTTCTATATGAATTCCATTTCGTTAGGGGGGGGGGGGGGGACGGTAGACTGTGTTTTTATCTTGTGAAGCTCTTCACCTACCATTTTATTATACGCGTGCTTTGCTTTGATCAAACAAAATAAATTGAACTGCAATAACAAAGCGGGAGTGATCTCCCATAAAATCTCTCGAATATTCTTATATAACACTACGGGGGATGGCAACTCGGGAAATAGACATGATTTAAATCTATTTTTAATTACTTAATTTTTTTACTTTCTCGTATATACGAATTATAGAGAAAGTCTTGTAATCGTGCAAAAAAAAATCGAGATTTTTACAAATCTAACGTTTTACACCTCACTGATACGGAAAAACATAATTTTGCAATCTTGTTCGTATGTCTGTGTATGTGTGTGTCTGTGTGTCTGTGTATCTGTAAACACGATAACTTGAGTACCGTTACAGCTAGGTTGATGAAATTTCATATATAAGTATTTTATCAAAATTGTAGATCCGTATCAACTTTTGAGCGATTTCCGATAACCGGAAGTGGTACTTTTTACTTTGAATTTTTCAAAAGCCTATAACTTGAGTACTATTTCAGATAGATAAATGAAATTTTACGTGTAAGTAAAAGTCAAATTTTGAGTAATTTTCGTTTACCGGAAGTACTAATTTACACAATTTCGATTTCTTAAAAAACTAATGTAAATTTATTAAGTACTAATAAGTACTAATAATATTCCGCACTATTATGCACATTTTATTTGGCGTTTAATGGTGTGCAATTCTTTTTTCTAGGAGATTTTATTCTATTTTTAAAAGTTTAAGTATTTAAAATAGATTAAAATTCATGTCTATATTCCGCAAATTACTCAAACTTTGACAGAAGACAGGAAATTAGATTTTTTACTTATGTGTGAAATTTCTTTTATCTATCTGAAACACCTAATGAAGCTATGGGAAAGCTAACGACTTAATGAAGCTAGGAATAGCTAATCACATAATGAAGCTAGGAATAGCTAACCACTTAATGAAGCTAGGAATAGATAACCACTTAATGAAGCTAGGAATAGCTAACCACTTAATGCAGCTATGGAAAGCTAACCACTTTAATGAAGCTAGGAATGTTAGAGCTTTGATAATGTATTATTTGTTTATACAATATCACTGTATGTCTTGCAGACATTTTTACAAACAAGTGACGTTTTTATATTGTTTATTTTTTTTACGTAACTTTTAAAAGTAGTCGATATATAACGTCATACATTAAACGAAAGAGCTCTGACATTTGGAACTGAGTTTTAAGAATTAAACGTAACTGGGGGAAGAGGTAGGCCTACATTGTGTAGTGTAGATGTTCGTAAGGAGGGGGGGGGCTAATTTGAAGTAGTCAGCGTATAAAACTCGGTTTTGTTATAATTCAGAATAAGAGCCAGTTTATTAATATTTCACCTGAACCATTTTTCTTGTCGTAGTGGCCCATTTGCCTTAAGTTCTCAAGTTTTATTGCAACCCACGTAAAAACCATATTGCGTTAAGTTCACCTGTTTTATTGCTACCCACATAAAACCCATTTGCCTTAAGTTCTCCAGTTTTATTGCAACCAACGTAAAAACCATATTGCGTTAAGTTCACCTGTTTTATTGCTACCCACATAAAACCCATTTGCCTTAAGTTCCTTTGTTTTAAACCCATTTGCCTTAAGTTCCCATAGTTTATTGCTATACACATAGAAACCTTTTTGCCTTAAGTTCCCTTGTTTTATTGCAACCCACCAGGTTGTCCGGCCGGCGTCAACCCTGGTGAGTCCTGGTTTGAAGAGGGTTGTATCAAGTGCGACTGTTACGAAGATTGGTCGGGATGCGTCAAGTAAGGAAATCTCGGAAATATGTTAACTGCTAGAATTACAACATACAACATTAAGAGATGCTATTATGCATTTATATTGTATAAATTGATATATCAATAATTGTACATTATCTTTATTCATCAACATGTGCATATTATATATATATATATATATATGTATATATATATATATATATATATATATATATATATATATTTATATATATATATATATATATATATATATATATATATATATATATATATATATATATATATATATATATATATATATGCATATATATATATATATATATATATATATATATATATATATATATATATATATATATATATATATATATATATATATATATATATATATAGATATAGATATAGATATATATAGATATATATATATATTCCTTGATTATACCTTAGCTGCCCTACGATGGCCGTGGAAGATAACTGTGAGGTCTTCTACGACACAGAGGGAGACTATCCCGATTGTTGTACACCAAGGGTAGTCTGTAATGACGAGAAGAAATAAACAGTGTAATGTAGAACACGGACTCATCTGAAATAAAGATATACTGCAAACAGTACATGATTTGTTTTTACTTACTTCCATTGTAAATTAGTCTCTTGAGAAACTTTAGACACCACATTATTGGAGTCGCGAAAAATAGGTTCATTTTTAAAGAATAAAAGTAGCTTTCTGTCTCACCCCACCTCAGCCCCCCCCCCCCCCCCTCACTGAAACCCGCACAGTCGGCTTAAAGCTGTTTTTCAGACCCTCCCCCACACACACATACGCAAAGCTTTTAATGCAAACTCACCCCCCTCCACCCACCGCCATACTGTTGTCTCGTCGCCCACTCGCCCCCATCCCCTCCTTACCTTACAGCTTCATACTGTCTCAGTTCCAACTCCCCCCCCCCCTCCAAAGCTAAAGTTTTAAGGTCTCAACCCCCCCCCTATAAAGCTATAGTGCTGTTGGTAGTGTCACATTGTTATCTTTTCCCACCCCTCCAACCAGTGGCGGAACTAGAAAAAAAAATGGCCACCCCGCAAAAAAAATTTTAAGCCCCCCCCCCTATATATATATATATATATATATATATATATATATATATATATATATATTTATTTATATATATATATATATATATATATATATATATATATATATATATATATATATATATATATACATATACATATATTCAAACTCAAAATACGAACATGGGATACACATTTCTGGCCTGTTCGGGTTTTGAAAGAAAAAAATTTCAATTAAAACAGTAACAACATCATGTCATGTGTGTAGTGCATTAGTCTGTTTTGTGAAAATCAGTCTTATTTTATCTCTGCTATAAGGTCACTTAAAATCTAATCGGTTAAAAGAATATAAAACCTGAAAGCTTTGTATAAGTAATGGTGTCTCGTGGTATGTTTATTTTTATGTTATTTTGTATTTATATTATTAATTTTAAATATATTTCCTTTTTATACAGTGTCATTCTTTAGTAAGTACTTTATACAAAAATAATAGTTAAGAGAAGTAATTGCTTTTTAATTTGTTTTGTAGAAATCTATTAAAAGGAGCTTATGGGCACCCCTATCTGACTATTTAAAAAAGGGAAGTGGTTTGAACGTTTGCTTATCTTCAATAAGTTTGATTATAGGAGAAAGAGGACTCGGCTTTCACAGTTTTTTAAAATCAAAGGAAAAAGAATATACAAGAGGGTGGGGTGGTGTCTATAGAATAAAGATAAACCATAGCCGCAGCTATGGTAATCTTTTTTTACAAAACAAACATCAAGTAAAAAATGCAAGAAAATTATTTTTTTTTACTATTAAAAAAATGATTATGGTCGGCTGTGGGCCCCTAAATGGCGTGAGCCCCCCCCCCCCCCCCCGCATTTGCAGGGTCTGGCGGCACTGTAGTTCCGCCCCTGCCTCCAACCCATGGTGGTGTTAGTATTGTCACATTGTCATCTCTTCCCACCCCCACCCCCACACCCTCTCACGCACGTAAGGGGGCACTACACCGTACATACAAAAATTTACAAAATAATTTTTTTTTAAGAAAACAAACACATGTATTGCAATTATAAAGATATTTTATATACTTTTAGACCAATGTGAATGTGTCTTCAGCGTTAGCCGATTAAAAAATACAGAAATAAATGATTTAGACATATCATGCTTCAATCTGTTTAACTCAATAACCATTTAATGTATTGACTTAAAACTTCTAATTTAAATAAAGGAGAGGATTCCTAACAGGAGAATAGAGAGACTTTTTGAATATATGACAAAATGTTGAAGTTACAAATTTTTTGTTTTTAGATTAAAATATTAACCATGAAATCAACTTTGAAATTCTCTAAAAACAAAACTACTCAAGATAACCTAAAAAAGTCTCTATTACTCTAACAGTAATTATGTTGTGTTTCTACTGTACAAATTTCATTGAAATCTAATAGACAGTATTTGAGATCATAATTTTGAAGTTTTAAAACTGGTAAAAAAACAAAATTGTGAGAAAAAGGGGAAAACGTGTTTGAAAATGAAAAAAAACTGTTAAACACTCTTTATATCTTATCAAAAGCTTATCATATAGTTTAAGCAATGTATACAAGATACTATAATCAAAGTTTCAATCAAATCAAGCAATAATTAGTCTTGGTAATTAGGTTTAATGAGGTGCACCCCCTAAAAATAAATTGTAAATAAGAGTTATCAAAAATATTTTAAAAATTAATAAAAGCTTTTAAATCAAATAATATCCTAGTAAAAGCTTATTAAATAGTTTTAGTATGTACAGAAGTTACTATTATCATTTGGTTTCTGAAATTAAGGAGTAATTATTCTTGTAAATCAGGTTTTATAAATGTACCCCTGAACAAAAAACTTCAAAACAGGTCAAGTAAAATTTACAAAAAAATTGAATTAGCTTACAAAATAGCTACATAGAGGTACAGTATACAACTCTGAAAACATTTGCATATTACTAACATTACAAAAACAAAATAGTTACAGTAGGCCTAATCATTCTCTATTTAGAAAGCCGAAGAAAAATATGATGATCTGCCTTCAGCCTGAACTAGTTTCTGTTGGGCTATGGGTGAAATAACAGCCATCTTTCAGTATTACTAACTGTCATGTAATCCCATGATTGGGGCCATATGCCTAGATGCATGCAGAAAGACTTTCATTTGGGTTGAATCTATCATGCAACTGCTCAATATGGCATTTGTCGTCAGTTGCTAATAAACATTTTGGACAGCTTTGGCAACATGTTCTAAGATGAATGATGAACCTTTGTGAGATAGCGGTGTTGAATTATGTACCATGACACATTTGCCAGAAGCACCAGGAGGTTTTCCCTGTCTGTCAATCCTGGTGTGTGTCCTTTCATCTGTCAAAGGGACATGATTAGAAGGAGCTCCAACTTTCCACCTCAGTTCCCTGTACTGCCAGTCTTACTTGAAACTGCCTTCTTGAAGTAGGTCTGGAGATTTTTTCAGCTGCTGAAATGAGATTGAGACAATATACTGATCTATACATTCTAGCTATCAGAGTGATTTCAAGAATTCAAACAAGTTTGACAAATCCTAATACCTGCGTAAGACTTCCAATCTATCCACTCAGTGCATTACGGCGATTAGACTGCAGAAGCACTAAATTTTCTTTGCGATGGTTGGTGGAAGTAGTGTAGCTGCAACCGATGCATGTGCACTGAGATGCAGGTACTGTAGGTGCATCTAGTGCATCTGTGCAGTCCCAAGTGATGTGCATCAACCCTAGCAAGCTTGGCAGCACTAGCTTTGAGACTTCAGGCATTGACTGTAAAAATATTTAAAAATAATAAGGCATATTGTTATTTCTAGATCTATCTATTATTCTATTATAAACTATTGTTTGTATTTATAGACTCATATTTACCTATATAGATCTGGACTAGAATCTAAATTCTACTTCTAGATCTTGATCTAGGTTTTAGATTTAGAATCTCCAATGTAGATCTAGATCTAAATCTAGATCTAGAATAGATCTAGATTCGAGATCTAGATCTAGAACGACTCATTATCGATAAGGAATAATAGTCCAAGTTTATTGATGAAAATACAATTAATAACTATATTTTAGAAAATAATTTCAGTAAAATAGTAATTAAATCAAATCTTAATCGACAGGCATGTTTATGGAGGCCATTTTTTCGTAAATTTATATTTTTCCAGGCACACACACCTTCTTCAAATGCACAAATATGTATGAAAATGTCAATTTACAGTTAAAACGATAACGGCATTAGGTAAATAAGATGTTAATGTATAGAAATAAAAAATAAAAAAAAATCGAAAAAAAAATAAAAATAAAATAAAAAATCAAGCTGAGTACGGTGTTGTAGCCCCGTAAAGCTAAGGTGCTGTTAGTATTGTCACATTGTCATCTCTTCCCAACCCTCCCCCCCGCCCCCATACCCCCTCCTATAAAGCTATGGTGCTGTTAGTACTGTCACATTGTCATCTCTTCCCACCCCCACCCCCACACCCTCTCACGTAAAGCTAAGGTGCTGTTAGTATTGTCACATTGTCATCTCTTCTCCCCCTCTCCCGTAAAGCTATGGTGCTGTTAGTATTGTCACATTGTCATCTCTTCCCAACTTTCCCCCTCACCCCCCACACCCTCTCCCCTAAAGCTATGGTGGTGTTAGTATTGTCACATTGTCATCTCTTCCCACCCCCACCGCCCACACCCTCTCACGTAAAGCTAAGGTGCTGTTAGTATTGTCACATTGTCATCTCTTCCCAACTTTCCCCCTCACCCCCCACACCCTCTCCCCTAAAGCTATGGTGGTGTTAGTATCATCACATTGTCATTGCTTCCCACACCCAAGCCCCACCCCACCCCCACATACACACACATCTATAGCACCGATTGTCTCAATGTCCCTTCCACAGTTACTATGTATGCAGGCTGTCACCACGTATAATGAACACATATTTATAATTTACTGTTTACATTTTTTTTAAATCCCACTCGCCCGCATGGAGCTTCATCTAGATCAGGGGTCTCCAAACTTTTCAGTCCGAGGGCCGCATTAACTATCAAATTTCAGTTCGGGGGCCAGTTTCTTCCAGGCATGTCTTTGATTTTTCTGGGCAAAATTCCTCGGCTATCACCCACAAACGTTTTTTCCTTGGACAAAAAGATCTCCGCGGGCCGGATGAGAGGACCTCGCGGGCCGCATCCGGCCCGCGGGCCGTAGTTTGGAGACCCCTAATCTAGATCTACTGCGGACTGTCACTGTGGGTATTTAAACCCGGCGATCTGACAGTTTAGCTTGTATCAGCTGCCTGCTACTGGCATTTAACCAACATGAAAGCACCCGTTCTCGTCAGCCTGCTGATCAGGACCTGCTTCACGCTAACTTTCGAGGACACCACTAGTCATTACAATACGACGGGTACGTTTTGGTGCTGCCCAATGTAGCGACTAGTCTGTTTTCAAAATACGTTTTTTTTTTTTTTTTTGTTTTTTATTTGTTACTGTTTTGCTACCCAATGTAGCTGCTTGTTTGCTTTCAATATTACTTGTTGGTTTTTTTTTTTTTTGCCTTTACAGTTTTGGCGGCGTTCTGCAGAGGACTTTTTTAAAATTCTTAAAAAGAATTTTTAAAAAGAATGCCGTTTTCTTATAAATTGACAATTCTTGAGAACAGACTTGTTCTAAATTAGAGACAGATTTTTGGTCTACTTAGGAGACTGACATTTTATTACATTGTAATGGCAGACTTAATGTCTACAGTTAAGTCTTATATTAATTGTTCCTACAAAAAAAACATATCTTGCAAAATATTTTTATAACTGGCATTTCATTACAGTTTTTTTTTTGTCTACAGTAAACTCAAACATTTTTGCATATTTTAAAGGGGAAAAGTAATTATATTAAAGGTGGACAGGCCTTTTTTTTTATTAATACAAAAATATAAAAAAAAAACTCTTTAGTGATGTTGGATGCAAAAAGATAAGAGAATCATATCTGATATCATACGTTATAGAACTGATATATCTACATATACGTGGCATACAAGCTGACAACTTAAATTAAATCAAACCGGATTTCATGAGTCATTGAATGAAGTTACTGACAAAAATGCTGTCGTCTTAAAATCTTGGTTAAAAAAGGTTAGACCTTTGGGTCTAATGTCCTGTACCGTAGCTTTGTTTTAGTCACCAGACGTAAAACTTACTTAGTCCGTTCACTCGCAGTTAATCTTTACCCTCCTGTTCAGACTCGGCCGAAAAAGTTAAATTTCGTGATTCCCCGAAAAATCTCCAGAAATTTTTAGCGCAATTTCCATTCTGGAGAATTGCGTTTATTAACCCGTCATTTCTGGATGTATGAATGTATGAATGTATGAATGTGTTTCCGCAGGTTTAAGTCGTATCTCCTCCTAACGAAGCAATATCGAGGACTAGTTCCAAAAGCAATAATGTTAAGCAAGTTACCAGGATGATAGTGGGCCAAAAACATTCCGGGTTTCTTTCATGGATATCCCGGAAAAGCCAAAAAACCTCGAAAAATGCAGTTTTTGGCCCTTATCTCGGCAACCAGACCACTAAGCGACTTGAAACACGTACCAATCGATTCCTGCCATAATGTAGAACAATATTGCCGAAGAAAGTTTTCAAAAATATCCTTTCGTTCGGTCACAAAAAAAAAATTTGAATTAATTAAAATTTAGACCGAATTAGTAGGCATGTTTATCCAACCACACCACACGCGTCATCAAGTTCAATGGCTGCGACATCACGTTCGGTAGCTAGGCGCGCGCAATAGTTTTTAGTCATGTAACTCTATTGTAAATAAAACATGTATTTTAACCTTGCTCTTGATTTACGCTACGACAGAGCTATTTTTAGATAACATAAGTAAATTGCGCTAAAATTGTCACTAGACTTTTTAATTAACTTGTTTATTCTGCTTCGATTCCCAAGTTGGCTGATAGTAAAGTTAGATTGTGTTCTATTGTTCTATAGGAGGGGTGTATTCTTTTGTTCTATAACAGGGGTGTGTTCTATTG